AGTTTAGGGATGCAAATAAAGCTAGAATTCCTAAAAGAAAACTTTCTGAAAAGCTGTGCTTTCCTGGTTCTGTCTAACTGCTGAATCCTCAGTCTGAAACGCAGCCACTAAGAAATATCAACAGGAAATGGACATCTTAACAGAGATGAGTCTACGATGTGGGGAGAGAAAAAGAGAAAGATGAGCATTTCCCGCATTCCCATCTACCTAGACGGAATTTACAGCAAGTTTAGACAATTCAAACAGAGTATATCATTGGGACCGTTGGTTAAATTAATTATATTTTTAAAGATTTTGGTTTTTTAAGGCATTGGCTGCACTTGCTCCTTAAAAATAAAAGACAGTAGAACCATAAGTAGGTGATCTCTCTTGGTGCCTTTCCTGATTTGGGATTCAGTCTTTGGACTTTGCTGCCCAAGATGTGTGGACTTCATGCTGGCTGGAGAATCCTGGGAGCAGAAGTCCACACAACCTAAAGTTGTTGAGGTCGAGAAATGCTGGTATAGACCATCACCGTAACCCGAAGTGTAAGGCAAGGCGTTTTCTGCATTTCAAAACCAAATTTTGTTGACAACATCTGTTCTGACTGATTGATAACTGGCATAGGGTGATCTGATCATCTGATTCAGAAAGTAGTTTAGCTTAGACAGTGATTTAATTTCTGTCACTAAATGAAAAGGAATCCATTGTATGGACTCAATCCAAATACTCCTTGGATGTCAAGACCAGTTGAGACTATGTTTTCCTTTCTTTTAAAGTAATGCTAATAATAAATATAATTATGCAGGCATAGATGTAATAGCAGTCATATACTCTAAAACATCTGCAAGGAATTGTGGATTAAACATCTCCATATGTCTTCCAGGGTTTAAATTTACACTGGCAGCAATTCTGCTTTGCATTTGTCTACCACAGAATGGAACACGCTGGTGAAACTGTATACATGTACGTATATGTATGAATTTCATGCTTAGGTCCATGGAAAAAAAATATCTTTTCGTTTCCTTTAAATTGTGAACAGGTGTTATCACCTTCTTAATTTAACTCCCATATTAAAACTGAAAGAAAGGGAAGCAAGAAAATCTTTTCAAACTAAAGGATTTTTGTTGGCCAACAAATGAAGGGTTGGTAAGCTGCACTGTGAAACAAGTCAGAAAATCAAATAACCCTAATAAACATGAGAAAAAGAATTTGTTAGAGAAACGAAGAAAGGGAATGAATGGAAGCTTTATTTTAACCCTAGAACAAACAAAGGAAGTTAACTTTGCCAGTGGCTACATTTGAGATGTCCCTTTCCTACTATATGAAAGACCGAAAGTTTGCCACAGGCAGTTGCCTCAATTTCCCCTTTACAGAAATGGGGCAACCTGGACACTGGGCCCTGGTGTGTTTTCTCCATTCAAGAGCACATCACACCTCACACAATATGTGTGTGTCCACGTGTGGAATCTCTTCCATGAACGGAGGTCTTTAAGGACATTCCTCCCACCACTCTTTTTAATCAGAAGGGTGACAAGCGTAAGGTGAAGAGTTATTAAATTTATTTATACTTCTTGTGATGAAGGTTGGAAGTCACTTCTTTCTATATTTCTTTTCTTTTTCTTTTTTATATTCTTTCTTTTCTTTTTCTTCTTTCCTTCTTTTTCTTTTTTCCTGCACTTTTTCTTCTTCCTTTCCATTTTTTTCTCTTTCTCTAAGATTAGTTTGTATTAGTTTTTACTACTGTAATTAAAATTCTTAATAAAAATTATATTTAAAAAAGAAGAAGGGCGACAAATGTATGAGAAAACTGGAAAACCTGACCCAATTTTAGACCCACATCCTTAAAGATGCATGTAAATAAATGGAGCCTGTGCAAGAAAACTCTGGTTTGTAGCTCTTCTTCCTTCCATTAAGATCCCAGTTCATATTAATATGAGCAACAGATGAGGGGAAGACATCCCAAAGTTGACTTTTGATTCTGTGTTTAACTATCTTGATCTACTTTGTGCTACTTATTAAAACAAGGTCGATTCTCTGGCTTCATTTAAATACCAAGTAAGACATCATGAAGGAACTCTTCCTGTGGAGACTTTTCAGATAGCAAAGCGCAGGAAGTCATAGAGGTTGCAGAGTTATGGAAAGATACATAGATAAAATATATGGCAGTATAAGCAGCTTTGCCTCTGCCACCTCCATTGAGAACGTCAGTACCAAGAGGACACCAACAAGATCAGTGATAAAAGAATTCTCACGCACCCTGAGAATAAAACAGGAAAACATAAGCCCTGTTCACAGGAAGAACGCTTCTAGAAAATTAAAGAATAAATGTTGGTCCTCAAGTTAAGAGACAACACCAAAAAAAAAAAAAAATCTGCTTTTCAGACTTTCTACATTAGTGAAAGTATTAGAAACAAAACAAAAGCCTTGCAACAGTCTTCGTTGGTTTGTTATCTTCGAACATTTGGATTTATCAATTACCATAAATGCATGCATACTTTATGGGGCCACTTCGCCTTCGATAGGCCATTGCTGAATGACCAGTGGTAAAAAAACTGTGACAACAAAAGAGCATTCAGTACTTGCCAGAGAAAAGGACTTAAGTGGATTATTTTAAACATAAGTTGCACATTTTTGTACACGTTTGTTTTTTGGGAAGATAGGTAATTTTGTAGGATAACAGACTCTTGTACTTAATCCATGGAATGTTAATTCTGATTAAATAGGAGACCAGTCCCTCCACTGTAATTAGCATCTCGAGTCTTGTGGTAAACCACAAAGTCTATTAAGCTCAACGATGAGAAGAAATTCTGCTTTCTCTTTAGCCTAGTTAACAGTTTCGCTTGTGGATCATGCTATTTATCCCCATCCTCCTTAGCAGAACAGCACAAGATTTCTGGAACTTAAGTCCAAGACCTACAATCATAACAGAAAGAATTGAGGCAGAAGCAGAAGAATGAATACCAGCTTTGCCACAGAAGGCAAAAGGCCATTCTTGCACAATCAAAATGTTCAAGGAAACCTGAGTTGGAGAACTTACCACAAAAGTTACCCCAACTGCTATGGCAGGATGGGTGTTGAGGAAGAAGAAAGAGAGTGCTCTCTTTAGTGGTTTGTTTTATGTGCTCCAAGGAAAGAGTGCTAAGCAGAATCCCCCCTCTTAATCACATCCATGAAGAGACAGCTCTGCCTTTACAACATGGTTGCCTGTCATGAAGAACCTTCTACGAACAACAGCCTTCCAACCACGGTGCAAGAAGAGTCAGATCCTTTGCTGCAAACAGCGGCTGCGTAAGAATGGAGACCAACTGTTCCCTTACACAGCCAATACTCTGTATTGAGAGAAGAGGAGCAGCTCACCACTCTTCATGAGGTGACAGGAACACCATTTTGTAGGGCCTGAAGAGGACTACATTTGCCAGCATGTAAAAAGGAGGAACCACCTATCTCAAAACCAGATGGGCCATATTGATTTTCCTTCTAATCTACAGAATCCTACCAGTTCAGATATACAGTATAAGATTTAAGAAAGCTCAGTTTGTTTCTCACCAGCCCCACCGTCCTGTTTATTATATAATTAATATTCTAGAATCTTGCACAACATGGAGCAAAAACTGGGAGCTTTGAAAAAGGAGTATTTTCAATTGCTCCGTCCTTTCTTTTCCTCCTCAATGTCTATTTGCAGCCGCCTTCTCCTCGTACGCAAAGATATTTTTATTCTGACACAAAACAAAAACCAGCTGTTTACTGAAGTAAATGGTGTGGTTATTTCTTTCACTGTTTGGGTTTTCATTAAATTATTTGCTATGTATAAAATAGTGTTTCATATTCTCTCTTTTAAGTTCCTGAAAGCGTTCATGCCCTCTAAAAGAGGTTTCTGTTTTACATTCTCAGCCAGCTTTCAGATTTCGTCCACACTTCTTTTGGTAGTGTTTCTGAGCTCACCTTTCCATTGCAGAGTGACCACCTCTGCAGCTGCTGGGGTTGTATCACTCTTGTTGTTGTTTTCTACTTTCCATAACTCAGAAACTTTCCTGGCTGCCTACATTTCCTCAGCTGCAAAAGCACCATGGGAGGGTTCCTCCTAGCAACATCTTTCACTGGGACTTAATTAAAGCAGGGGGAAAAAACCAGGGAGCCTGTAAATTGTGGAAGAGATGAGTATTCAGTGGATAAGATCTATCCCTCAAACCATCTTGCCACTGATTTTACCCAAATGTCCTCCTCCCTTAAGAAAAAAGGAGCAAAGTGAAAGCCATTTCTTTCCAACAAATTGAAGGAGAATGCTTGGGGGGGAGAAACACACAGGCTACGTTCAGCAAAGCAATAATTTTGTTTGCATGTTATTGTTGACTACTTCAGGTACTACCGTTCACAGAAAATTCATGCTGTATATTAAATAATATATATTTACGCCAGGCCTTTAAGTGTTTCTGCAGAGTAGTGTGAGCAGAACGCTGTGTAATTCTAGTAGTACAAGACAATCCCCACCACCACCTTTTTTTTTTAACTCCACCTTATGGCAGGACACAGAATGCATTCTCCTGAGACTCCATTTTTAAACTGTGATGGAACAGAAAACATTTAGGCTTCATGCCAGGTTGTTGAATAATTCCAGCACCTACTGTTATTCCTGATGATAACAGGAGTCGTGTGTCCTTGCTGTGGAGACTGAAACACACGTTTAGTAAAGAGGCTCTATGTTCTGGCAGAGACCACAAAGACTGGAGTGACCTCTTGTTATCACCCAACTTTTCCGGCATGGAACTCACCGAGATCTGTGTCTCAGTGATTATTAGATCACGCCTGTTTATTCATAACCTTTGGCCCCAGCCTTGACTAATCTTATCTTGACGCTGCTGACTGCCCTACGGAGATGTGCAACACCCCCACTGCCTTGGCCATCCTCAAACATTGGGACAAACTAGTTTGACTAGAGGCTGGTAGATTATTTACAGAGTGGATATATCAGAGGCAGATCTCACCCCGCATGGAACACAGTGAACTTTTGCTGTACTCACCGATCACAATGAGGGTATAGTTCACATTCATGCTGCCAAAACCATTGGTGGCCTTGCAGATGTATGTACCTGCATCTTCACTTTCCACTTCCTTAATTTTCAGGCCTTGCTGGAGGACGCGGAACCTTGTCCATCCACTGTGGATGGTCCGTCCATCTTTCATCCACATAGTAAGAGGTGGCGGATCACCTTCTACTGGACAGAGAAGCTTAATTGTTCTTCCTAATCTTACAGATTGCCGGTGGATTACTTTATCAGCAATTCTGGGTGGGCCTAGAAAAGAAATAATGAAATTCAAATGTTATTTAGCAATGTGCCTGAAAGCAATTACAATAATGCAATTACAGATTACCTCAACATGGAAACTAGTCACTTTGAAACTATGGTTCTGAGGTAGATCTGTAACCTTAAGAGGTCCTATGGCTACTTTGGCCACTGCAGAGGAGGGAACACTGGGCTCAACAGGATGACATATCTGGATTAGGCAGCTTGGTATAAATGCCAGAAGCCTGGATTTGGGCGGACAGCAAACTATCTCCTTCTTTTGGCTGAAATTGGCTCCAAATTTGGCTCCAACACTAGCTCTGGAAAGCTGAGGTCTAGATGAGATTATAGGAATGCCCCAACCTATTCCAAATCTACTGTCAACATTCACATCCTCACATAACAGAGGCCACATTGATAAATGGATTCAAATCTCATATGGCCTCTTAGAAGCACTAATCATATTAGCCAAGTTACAAATAGAAGCTGAAGGGCCTTCCTCAGCCTTACTTCCTGCACAAACATCAGAAGAAACAGACATCTTTATGGCCATACACTACCAGTTGTCTGAACCAAAACTTGGAACCAAAATGAGCAATGATACTAGCAGCAAAACAATCTATTTTTCCTTCACTGTTTTGCATGTGTAGCAATTCCCTTTCATAGCATCCAGATGGGGTTGATGAACAAACAAAGAAACTCTTATAAAAGTACACCAGAATGACTGCAATCACAAAGGAAGTGTTGGAGAGCATATTCATTTCACTTAAAAGGGTCCAGAATCAGCTGATAAAATATTAACTGGCAGTTTATATCTTTCTAACAGAAGATAAATCATCTGCCTCTAAAAGTTAATAACTGCATAGCGTTCTCTTCCTACTGTAAGGATAGAATATAATAAAGGACAGGTATTGCCCTTTATGAATATATGTGTATGCAAAAATCTAGCACAGACAGAAGCTCATTTTCTACATACAGAGCATTTAAAAATGAGGATTATTTTATGCTAATTTTCACCATTTTTCTGTGTCTGATTTCATCACTGACCAAAATAAAATGAAACAATGAAATGATATTGGTACTGAATCTATGAGAAAGCTCAGGCATTTTTCCCAACCTATCAAGTACTACACCCTTGGGAGGTACAGAAAATGTGATTTTCCTAAATTCAACAATTGAGCCAACGGAAGAAAAGTAAAAAGCTGAAGTTTGATCAGACATTAGGAATCAAGACTGCCTTTCTAATGGATACTAAATATTAGGGTACTGAAAAAACCAAATGGGGGGGGGGATCACCAATTAATGTTGGACTGATATCTCATTACCATTCCTGGTAACATTTGATAATAAATTTCAAATTCAATTCATAATACAGCAGACACATTGCTATAAGAAATTTTAACAACATATAATCAAGAATATTTCCAAACACATTGAAACTGGGAGTCTCCAATCAGTCCATTTGCATTCATACAGGTCGCTGGATTTTTTAATTTAATTTAATTATTTGTTTTTCAGTCAGCACTTCCAAAAGCTGATGCCCTCAGCACATTGTATTCTAAAGGCATTTGTTACTGCCTCAAGCTTCCTAAAATTAAATCTTAAATATTCATTATATTCATATGGTGACATATGCTTTACATTTTGCCTTATTAAACCAGCCCAGCAGATCTCTACTTCCTCCCCCCGCCCTCTCTCTCTCCCCCTTTTTGCCGGAAGACCACTTAAAAATCGCTGAAGGTCTTGATAGACCACTTAACACACTCATATTACAATTACATTTTTCTGCCATGCCCACATTATCGTTAAACCGGCCTTGTATTATGAGAAGCATGGGCCCCTAGGCCTTTCTTGATAAACTCAGATCAGAATGGCCTTGATCTCTGTTATTGGAGAAGAACAAAGTCATATGCAGGGCAAGTATACATAATCTCGACTATTTGAATGGAGTTTGCAAATCGCAGTTTGAGAATCTCTGCCCCAACCCTACAGCTTTCTGTTGCTTTTCTCATGTTCCATACATTTTTGGTCTAACTAGATTCACAAAAACAAGCCGTATAAAATATGATTGAAACAAGCTAATCCTATCAATTGTACTGGCAGCGAAACAGTATATTTGGAGAGCAGCATAAAAGAGGTCAAGTTTCAGAAATGTGGAGAAAACGTTTGCACTCTTGCTCATTCTCACACACACACAAACAGAAAATCAAAGGCAGGGTAAAATATATGCACAGTATGAAGTTACACAGAATGCAGGTGTGTTTATCTGCGAGGAGGATTTTATTTCCTAGTATAGCTTAGCAGCATCCCTAAGAAACTACAGTGAAGCCAAAATAACAATATACATGCAATTTTGTCTTCACCCCCAACACAGTTACACACTTGCGCTGCGATGCCTGATCCTAGCACTGCAACGGCAACATTTGCAAGATGCCATCTTCAAGGTCATGTTATCAGTTGTCTTGCTCCACTCTCCCCCCCCCCGCCCAACATCCATGCTTAGGAATCAATTATGAACACAAAAGCCCTCTAATTGTGACTCTCTTGTTAATTGCCTGGTGAAAACCATATTACCACTGGAAATGTCCTTTAATTTTTTTATTGTAAATTATTTTAAACACCAGTAGTTTGGAGCAGCAACTGAAATCTGTGTAAGAAATGTGAGATTTTGCTGTAAGTGTAATACTGCCTTTTCTCACTCAAACAGATTATGTTTGAACTGACAATTCTGAGCAAAAATACATTAGTTCCGATTTCCAGTTCCAGGAGGGCTGGTGCAAGAGAACTTTCTGCTTGGTTTGCCCTGGGAAACGTGACACAGTAGGAGGGTAAGCAACTTGCAAGCTAGTATAAATTTGACAGAACATAATAAGCAAACATTTAGGATAATTTCATTTGTTTCAATGCCTCAGCTTAAAGAGAAGCAGACAAATGGGCTGATTTATTTCCCTTACTTGGAACTACAAGCAACTGGAATACTTGCATAGCCTAGTTATTTAAAAAGAGGAAAAAAAGTCCACCTGTCACAAGGAACAGCTGACCCATCTTCAGTTTAGATCCTGCTCCTCTTCTACCAGATACCACAGATGGGGAATTTAGCTTGTTTCTACGCTGAAACCTAAAAACATACAGATGTCTTTTCGTTCTTCCCCTTGCTCGTTTCTGACCCACTGAATCTAGCCACTTCATTTGGGACACCATACTTTAAAAATGCACTAAAAAATCTTGACATCAGGAGAATTCTGAAAGCAAATGAGAACCATGTTCAGTCAATACCAGAACAGTATTTCCCAGCTGTCAGCATCACCTCATTTAGTCATTCAGTATTTCAGAGGAAAGTCTACTTTAATTATTTACTTAATTCATGTTCCCCATCTATACTTCAGATGTTCTGCACAGAAATGCATACTGCTTTATATACCAATTAAAGTGTATTTACAAATAAATAAAGCTTATCGTAGTGACAGCCTGATCCCCTCCTGAAAGTTAGTGGCAGCCTACAAAATTACATCAGTCACATTTATTTATATACATTTTAATTCTATGAGGAAGTTAATATTTTAAACAATAGTGTCACATGCACAGAAAAAGGATACAGGATACATTGCACTTTTTTCATTTCTGTCATCTTTGGAGACTCCAAAAAGTAAGAAAAAGAAAATATGATGCCACATAAAAATAAAAATAAAAAAAGCAGAAAAAGCCCCATTCAAATCAAACAAGCTGAACTTTAAGACATAATTTAAACCGTTTACATTTTTTTAAAAAAATGGTCTAGATGTGAGCCACCTCTGAACTTGACCTCAGACCAAATGATCACACTGTTCACACGTAAACACACCTGTACTCACCGTGACTATGAAAGCCAACAAAACAGAAAGTATATTTTTAAGTCAAATGAGGGATTATTATTCCACGTATGAAGGGTCTAAGGCACAGTTTATGCGAAGAACCAATTTTTTGTCATGAGTTGGAAACTAAATGCTGTTGGTAGGAGCAGGTCTCTGAAAAACAATCCCTTCTCTTTCGGACTTCCTGATTTTGTGCACCTTTGCAACTGAACGTGTTGAAAGCTTCATGTGGGTCCTCGTCATATCTAAAGAGAGTCTGAGGAACAAGTAAATAGGGGTGTCCATGGCAGGGAGGTCAAAAAAGTCAGGATGGCAGTTGCAATTGGGTGATTGAAGCCCCATTTTTTTACATGCATTGCAAGTAACCTTCCACTAAAGGGAGAAGATTTTTTTAAAACTGCAGATTCTAAAATTGTGAAAGACAAGGAAATAAATTACGGAATTTAGGCACTTAAGTCAGTGAAACAGAACTGCAGTTTTCCCAGCTTGCCTTCTCTGTTGGCAGATCCTTCTTATACTGAAGGATAAATACATTGAAGTGTCATATCTAATCATAGGCATCTGTAGGTTACCACAACAATGAAGAAATTATAGGCGTATGGTGACATCATGGATCCAAGCTTGTCTTTTCATACTAGTGTCCCAACATCAGATCCCTGTCTGGAAGTCATGGGGTTTGCACTGTAACATTAGGATGTTCCCCACAGATACTTAAGTGTGAGTGTGAATCTACAGTTCACAAAGAACATCAGGAACCAATCAATGCTCAACCTCTCTCCAAACAAGCTGAGCAACAGGTACATATGCAAAGAACATCAACCATCAGTGCTCTTTCCTCCTCACTCAATACTGTTCATTAGCAACAAAAATCTAATTCCCACTCCACACAAAATTAAAATAAATCCTTAGTCCCCCCCCCCTCCATTTTTACAAATCCAGTTGTAAAGACATGTAAACAAATGTCCTGAAAGTCTCTACAGGTTCCTGGTTACCACCATGCCAGATCTCAATTGCATTCTGAGCCTCTTTGACTTATGACAATAGCATGGCACCATGCCAGACATTCTGAGACGAGGAACTATTTCCAAGACCTAGGACCATGCCTGTGTGTTGTGATATCAGACAAAAGGAGAAAAACTCTAGTGAAGGAAGACAAGA